GCCCACCTGATCTCCATGTATCCAATCTGGCATCAGATCTCTTAACCTATTCGCCAATACTTTTGCATACAACTTCGTGTCTACGTTCAATAGCGATATCGGTCTATAACTTGAACAATGTGTGATGTCTTTACCTTCTTTATATATTAAGACCACCTGTGCCAGAAGGGATTCCTGTCTTATCTCCATCTCTCCCCCCAACGCCTCCATATATCTCTTTAACTTGGGTATCAGTAAATCACCATATTTTTTATAATATCTCACGGTATACCCGTCTGGACCTGGGCTTTTTCCCGTCTTAAAGCTTTTCAATGCTACTTTTAGTTCTTCCTGTGTGATTTCAGATTATAAGGAGTTTAATAGTTCTTCACTTAATTTTGGTAATCCTGCATTTCTTAAATAATCCCTTCTTTTTTCAATATTTATCATTTTATCTTTATTTATATCATCCTTGGGGGCAATATTATATAATTTACTGTAGTAATCTTTAAATACCTTTGCAATGTCTTTGGTTGAATGGACTATCTCTCCCTTGGAGTTTTTTATTTTATCTATATAGTTCCTATTCTTCTTTCTCCTCAGGGCTCTCATCAGATATTTCCCTGATCTATCTTCCCATCTATATCTTTCACCAATGATCTTATTAAAAGTTCTCATTTTTTCTTCCTCCATTACCTTCTCTAATTCTTCCCTCTTTTTTATCACTCTTTGCTCTATCTCTTTCCTTATGTTATTTTTATGTAGGAGTTCCATCTCAGCTATTTCCTTCAAAAGCCCACTGATCTTCTCTCGTCTTTCCCTTTTTTTTTTCTTCGCCCCAATCGCAATAAGGATTCCTCTTACATATGCTTTATGTGCCTCCCACACTGTAGCTAGTGATACATCCCCTGTTTCATTTTCCTCAAAGAACCTCTCTATTTCCTCCCTGATCTTCCGGTCAGTATCTGGATCCATGAGGAGTGTCTCATTCAACCTCCATGATAGGCCTCCTGACACCTTCCCTCCCCATCTTAATTTCAATACTACAGGTGCATGGTCCGAGAAAGTCATTGCTTCTATTTTTACTTTAACCAGATCCTCAACAAGTTGATGGTCCACCAAAATATAATCCAATCTAGAGTATGTCTTATGTACACTAGAGAAAAAGGTGTAATCTCTATCTCTCAGATTAACAATTCTCCAGCTATCCACCAATTGGCACTCTTTCATCTCCGTTTTCAATAATCCCATGGACCTATTTTCCCCTCTCTGTACTCTAGATGTTGTATCTATTTGTGGATCCATACATATGTTAAAGTCTCCCGCCACTATTAGATATCCCTTTCCAAAGTCCATCAATCTTCTCATAACCCCTTTCAAAAACATCTCTGGCTTCTTATTAGGGCAATATATGTTTACAAGCGTACATTCTATGTCCTGTAGTTTACCTTTCAAGAACAGAAACCTCCCCTCCGGGTCCGTCTTTCTATCTTCCAGTTCAAAATCTAATATTTTTTGCAAATCCTATAGCTACACCTTTAGCTCTCTTAACTGGGGAATCTGCGTAATACCATGTCGGATGTTGTCTAGAGTTTAACTTGATATTTTTTTTTAACTCTAGATGTGTTTCCTGCAAAAAAACAACTGAGGCCTCTCTATGTTGTAGTTCTCTATATAGTCTAAATCTTTTACCTGGGCAATTTAATCCATTTACATTATGGGTTACAAAGCGTATTTCCTCCATATTTTATTTGTCTTCTTCCTATTTTACCCTTTCCTTTCCTCTTCCCCTTCCCCATACCTCTCCTTTCATACAAGATGTCAGTTTTAAAAACCTCTATCCCCACTCCCACCCCAATTCTCTCCCTCCCCTCCACCCCCCTCCCCCCTCCACCCCCCTCCCCTCACTCCCCCCCCCCCAGGCCTCCTTTGCCTTTGGATCATGATCCTCCACTGATCCCTCCCTAGGGGTTCGGCTCCACCCATGACCGCTCACCTTCCCCCCCTCCTCCCCGGTGTCTCCTTATCTATTAACTCTCTGTTTCCTCTTCTGACCAGCTGCCACTTTCCTTCCCCAAAAGTACATAACTCTCCCTCCTCCACTTCCCAACCCGGTATCACTATTCGCTGCAGACCAAGTTTATCACAAAAGTCTTCCATATCTTCTGGGAATCTTAATATTGCTGTGATTCCATCTCTCCAACCGATTAAACTCACTGCACGACCCCATCTATATTTCACATTATGCTTTTTCATCAATTCTAATAGGGGTTTCAGTGATCTCTTTTCTTCTCAGAGTCTCTGCTGTTAGATCTGCAAAAATTTGAATGTCTTTTCCACCATATGCAATACTTGTTCTTCCTTTGATCTTTTTCCATATCTCTTCTTTATCTACAAAATTATGGAATTTAACAATTATATCTCTTGGTTTTTCTAATCTTTTTTCTTGTTGATATTTTCCTATCCTATAGACTCCATCCAATTTAAACGTCTCCACGTCTGATTTCTCCATTATGGAACTCAAAATTTTGTCGATTAGTTCTTTTAAATCTTCCCCCTTTGCCAACTCTGGGACTCTTCTTACTCTAAGATTATTTCTCCTTTCTCTGTTTTCTTGTTCTTCCATCATAAAAAGCAATCTTTTCTGTTCTTTTCTACTTTTATCCATTTCTCTAATTTTGGGACAACTTGGGAATGAATTTGAACCTTTTCCTCTATTTCCTCCACCCTAGTTAACATTTGCCGCAATTCCTCCCGAATTGTCCCCATCTCTTGCTTTATTGATTTTTCCAGATTTTTGAACATCTCCACCATTTCCTTTTTATTAGGTATTTGCAGATCTCTTTCAAATTCTCTTGATTCAGTCCCTTCCTTTAATTGTTGACTATTATATACCGGTCCCAGGGATAGTCTGGGCTGTTATCCAGACTTATTTCCAATTCACTTTTTTCACTTACCCCCAACGTTCTTTCTGGAGTCAAATTTCCCTGTGATACATACTTTTTAATCGTACTAGATTGGGAGCTCTTAGACCCACTCCCTTTAGTATTTTTTCCTTTCATGTTGATTTTTAATGCTTTACTTTTATTTTCGGAACTCCTCTTTCACTCCTCCAGGTCTTCAGACCCTCCCTAGGAATCCCCTATATCCTTATTTCAGACTCAATGTTTGATAAAATGTCTTTTTTAGAGGCACAAGGAGATCCAATATAAATCAGGTTCAAGAGCATAAGTCCAGTTTATAGATAATGCATAAAGAGTTGCAAAAAACCCCACAGATATCACAGTTATCACTCACCCTCCATGTTGGAGTGTCTTCCTCAATGTAGTCCTCTCCTGTAGCCGTGCTCTCTTAGGGGGATTCCTATGGGTCTCTTTATATATATGTATATGATGTATACGATGCCGATATATCAGTTGGAGGATTTGAGGGGATTTGAGGTTGGGAGTGGTGTAGTTGTTTTCCTCTTGTCAAGCCGCTCCTGAACAACAAACAACGCCAGAAGCGCCTTACGTGGGCTAAAGAAAAACAAACCTGGTCTGTTGCTCAGTGGTCCAAAGTCCTCTTTTCTGATGAGAGCAACTTTTGCATCTCATTTGAAAACCAAGGACCCAGAGTATGGAGGAAGAATGGAGAGGAACACACTGCAAGATGCTTGAAGTCCAGTGTGAAGTTTCCACAGTCTGTGTTGATTTGGGGAGCCATGTCATCTGCTGGTGTTGGTCCACTGTGCTTCATTAAGTCAGGGTCAACCCAGCCGTCTACCAGGAGATTTTGGAGCACTTCATGCTTCCCTCCGCAGATGGGCTTTATGGGGATGCTGACTTCATTTTCCAGCAGGATTTGGCACCTGCCCACACTGCCAAAAGCACCAAAACCTGGTTCAATGACCGTGAGATTACTGTGCTTGATTGGCCAGCAAACTCGCCTGACCTATGGGGCATTGTCAAGAGAAAGATGGGAGACATGAGACGGAACAATGCAGAAGAGCTGAAGGCCGCTATTGAAGCATCCTAGTCTTCCATAACACCTCAGCAGTGCCACAGGCTGATAGCTTCCATGCCACGCCACATTGAGGCAGTAATTGCTGCCAAAGGGGCCCAAACCAAGTACTGAGTACATATGCATGCTTATACTTTTCAGAGGTCTGATATTGTTCTATGTACAATCCTTATTTTATTGACTGCATATAATATTCTAATTTTCTGAGATTGTGGATTTGGGGTTTTCATGAGCTGTAAGCTCATGAAAACCCCAAAGCTCATGATCACAATTATGACAAATCATGGCTTGAACTATCTTGCTTTGCATGTAATGAGTCTATCTCATATATTAGTTTCACCTTTTAAGTTGCATTACTGAAATAAATGAACTTTTGCACAATATTCTAATTTTTTGAGGTGTGTGTGTGTAAGTGTAATATATTCTTTCCAAATATATTTGACATATATTTTTCTTCCATGTGGGAGTGATCAGGGATAATATGACGGGTGTGGCAGTTGCAGTGATCAGAGACAATGTGAGGGGTGCGGCGGTGATTAGGGATAGTGACTGGTCCAAGGATCACAGATAATGACTGGTTGCACTGACCACAGTCTGGGGGTAAACCTCCAGTTATTTGTGAATTCTGACATTTCTTCCATTTCTCTCCATCAGATGGCGCTGATGTCAGGAATTCCTCTGAGAGACATCTTCTATTATCTGCTGATTGGAAGTCAGAAGATAATGCCATCACCCAGGATCCTCCAGGAGTGAATCCAAATACACCCAATATCCATTACAGACCTTCCTGTCCGGAGACATCAATGGATCCCTCTAATCAGGGGGAATCTTCTGACCAACCACATACTAGGAGTGCAAATGTCCATTTAGGATCTCACACTGCAGATAGATCAATGGATCCATCTAATCCCAAGGAATCTTCCTCACCCCATGAAGGAGCTCACCAAGGGGACAATCTATTCTCATGTTCAAAGTGCGGGAAATGTTTCGCTCAGAAAGGAAACCTTGTTAAACATCAGAAAATTCACACGGGTGACCGTCCTTATTCATGTACACAGTGCGGGAAATCTTTCACTCGTAAAGTAGACCTTGTTGTACATCAGAGAAATCACACAGGTGAGCGTCCTTATTCATGTTCAGAGTGCGGGAAATCTTTCACTCAGAAAGGAATCCTTGTTAAACATCAAAGAATTCACACGGGTGAGCGTCCTTATTTGTGTTCAGAGTGCGGGAAATCTTTCCATAAAAAACATCATCTTGTTACACACCAGAAAATTCACACGGGTGAGCGTCCCTACTCATGTTCAGTGTGTGGGAAATCTTTCATTCATAAAGGAGACCTTGTTGTACATCAGAGAAATCACACAGGTGAGCGTCCTTATTCATGTTCAGAGTGCGGGAAATCTTTCACTCAGAAAGGAATCCTTGTTAAACATCAAAGAATTCACACGGGTGAGCGTCCTTATTCGTGTTCAGAGTGCGGGAAAGCTTTCCATAAAAAACATCATCTTGTTACACACCAGAAAATTCACACGGGTGAGCGTCCCTATTCATGTTCAGAGTGCGGGAAATCTTTCATTCATAAAGGAGACCTTGTTAAACATCTTAGAATTCACACAGGTGAGCATGCCTAATGTTCAGAGTGTGGGAAATCTTTCTATATAAAAAGATTACACTTAATTTTCTGTTGTTAAAAAGACTAATGTGGAGGAGTGATGTCAGAGAATGTAGTGTGGATGGTGGAGGAGAGCTGTCAGAGAATGTAGTACAGACATTGAGAGAAGAGACACAACACCGGGGTGCAGAGTGTTTAGTGATGTGGACTCTGCTGAGAGAACAATGGATGGTGGGGATGTAGACACTGATGATAAAGGAATGTCCCTACCAGGTTGCCTTTATTAAGATGCAATGTGTGCGCTGAGGACTTTTCTGCATTGCAGCTTAAATCTCCAGCAGAGACTGGCTCTGATAAGAGCTGCCTCTCCTCCTTTCCTAGTTCATTCATAGTTGATGATACAATTCTCAAACAGAGTAGAACAGGATAATTACTCAGATCTAGGGCTCTATGCACTGAACACTTTCAGGAAATTCCAGATAAAAATGGGAAGATGTATTATCCATGAAATAGAGTGACTATACGTTACAGTTATAGGTGTGTGTGTGTATATGTATGTTTGTGTGTATATATATATAGATAATTTATAGTGATGTCAAATGTGTAAGTTTACCATAAAGGACATAAATGATACTAAATAAAAGGACTCTTGTGTATACATTGTATCCATTTTAAAACATTGTTAAAAATTCATATCCTGACTTAGTCACGTGTTAGTGATGCAACGCGTAGATACGCGGTGATGTAGCTTCTGGTCCGCGGTGACGTACATCCGATAAGGCCGCCATATTGGCACACCTAGAGTAACCTGAAACCCATGCAGTACACCTGTGCATGCGGCTTGTGATGGAGGACTACTATTTTACTATGTGAGTGAGCATTTTTATTACAATAAAAGCACCTTCCTACTTATGAATACTACACTATAAGAGATTCTTCCTTTACTTATTATGGTCTGGATGAGTGGCATACCTAGCTGAGATCAGGAGCCAGGGAACCTTGATTACTTACCTACCTGATGAGGGGTCCACGGAAGGTCTGCTAAGGATACCCACCTTTATTGGAACAAGATCCTGTAGTGATCTTAAAGGTGTGTTGGCCCATTGGGTCACAGAGTGAAGGTGATGGGGCAATCTAGCCACAGGAGGAGCGTGCATACACCATCACTGGAAGTTACCTGTGTGATCACTTTTTGCATGAATATATCCAGAGCAGAGCACCAGTATCTATTATTTGTGAACTTTTGTATTAATCTTGGTTGGTGACCATCATATACTCACTTATCACGCCCCTAGAGTGTGATTGAAGGGGCCACATGTGCAGTGATTAGTTCCTTAGCAGGAACAGTATTATAGATCACCCACCTACCTGCATATATATACTGTATATTAAGAGCATGTGTGGCATATATATGTTTTGATTAATTCATGTGTATCTGTATTGACTTTTTTACTACAAAAAAGCTATGGCTATATTTTGATTTATTTATGTTTTCACTGTGTAAGGTATCAGTTTGAGTGCTAGAAGCTTGTGAGAACAGGTATTCCATCAAGCGCAGGAGGAATATTCATTTATTTATGTTAAAAATTCATGTAGTTACTGTGTGTAATTTATAAATCATGCGCATCAATTTCAGTTTGGCTTTCATTCTTTTGTTTTTCCATAATTATAAATATTGAGGAGATGAACTTACCTGGGTTTTATTCGGTGCCGGTTTAGCGAATGCTACTGAAGTTTGGATCCTGAAGCCAAACCTTGGATATCAGTGATGGCCATTTTCTGAGCTAATAGTCAAGGGATTGTCCAAGAAAGGGAGCTGGGCAGCGGCCTGAAGGATGTGTACCAATGCTTTAAAAAATGTTAATGATTTTTCAGTCGCGTCTGTGGGGTTGATGGTGACATGCTCCGCATTTGGCGGTCCCATCCACTGGCGCATTGTCTATGGATTAGGGTGTATAACTTAGTACTATCGCCTACACAAATCAATGTCAGGAGAAACCAGTGGGACGCTTTCCTCCGCAGACCAATAAAAGATGTGCCACGGCGATCTCCTTCATTTTTATGGCTACAAAGCAACCCACAGTCCACGTGTAGAAATCCTCTACCCTTAGTTTTGTGGAGGTTAAGTACAGAATACAAGACATTTTTATTCATGAAAAGCTCACTTCGATCCTGGAGGACAAACATGATACATTTTTTAAGTATGGCAGCTCATGCTTGATTACCAACTGGTCTCTTGCACTTGCTACATTTGTGATCCAAGAGTTTATTATGGTAGTCCTCCTACTTCGCACTAGCTTTCGGGAACAGAAACCGCTGTACCCCGTGGAAAAAGTTCCTCTGCCACTTTTACCATTTTTTTTCTCTTGGTTTTCAGAGTCCTTCACCTACTTTCCCCCTCTTGCTTCAGGGTCACCCTTTATTTTTTCTTACAGGAAAGTTCTCCTGTACCATTATCCCCTCCCTCCTAGATTGTAAGCTCGAAAGAGCAGGGTCCTCGAACCCCTCATGTATCACATTGCATTGTATTGTTACTGTACTGTCGCATGTTCTGTCCCCCTTTTGTAATGTACAGCGCTGAGTGAACTGTTGGTGCTTTATAAATACTGTATAATAATAATATTAGAGCCATTTATCCAACCGTCCAGCCAGAGCCTCTGGTTTATATACAGATATATGAGACTGCTGATGGCCTTCTTGGATGTGATGTCAGAGATGTCAAGTGACATTCTATATCAGTAGTTCCTAACCTCAGCCATCAGGTACCTCAACAGGCCATATTTTGGGGATTTTTCCATAAATATGACAGCTGTCATACATACCAAGCCATTGACATGGATTACAAGCACCTGTGCAAGGTGAATAAAATCCTGAAAATATGACATATTGGGGGTAATTGAGGGGGGCGAATTTGGGCAGCACTGGGCTACAAGTATTCCCCTCTGCACCCGCTCCATCAGAGGGATACCTCCTGATTTAAGAATTCTAGTAAGAGGGGCAGCCACGGGAGAGGAGGATCTGTGGTGCTCCTTCGGCCATAGGTGGGGGTAAGTTACCCTGAATACTGGGTGTGGTATAATAGAGTCTCCAAAGATAATATGAGAAATAGAGAAAAAAAAAAGCGCCACAAACTAAATAGAACAAAAGCTGCACTCCTAACCAAAAAAAAAAACAAAAGAGGCTGTCATTGCTGGTGTCGGCTAGACACCCTGTTTGTGAGTGCATTTCTGACGTTTTAATAAAACATTTTGGTTTTAAATGTACTACACCATGATTTCCTTTTTTGATTCCCCGAACATGATCTATGGTATGGAAATGTGATGAATACCTGCTGTTAAAGGCTATTTCATATTGTGCTGACTGGCTGCTTGCAGTATATTGCTCCCAGTTTAGATTACTTCTGCTGATCATCGCTCCCAGAGCAAACGCTATCTTTGCTGACTTATAATCTGGTCAGCATGGAGCTCTGGTGAGTGTACCCATTTCATTCGGTGTTTTTTTTTTTTGCACGGTGTTTGATTTATACAAGATTTCAGAACTGTGTAATTACTTTGTTATGGTGGATGGACTTTTATATTTTTTCTATCACGGACATCATTATTTTAAACTAATAATTTTTGTATTTACTTATATTTAGCGCACTCTTTGATTTATTCACATAATAGAGTCTCCGCCTACTTGTGTATACACAACACATGTATTCCTTCTACTCACAAAATACTCCTTAATTACAGAGGAACCAATGACAGTCTCCCAGACACAATGCAAGGGAGGGAAAAAAATATTTTATGAAAAAATACGGCAAGTAAATAATTAACATATTTAATTTTTCTATGTCTCTATCTGCATTTTTTAAGATGGTTACAGGATCTGGCTAGGGTGGCCGCCTCATCCTTTTAGAACTGAACACATATTAATGACACGGGTTCTGAGGCCAATTTAAAGCAGATAAGGCACTTAGTGAGTTTAATTTCCACCCTAATCAGCCACAGAACCCGTGTTCTTAATATGTGTTCGGTTTTAAAGGGATGAGGTGGCCACCCCTAGATCTGGTGGTTCTTATTTTTTACCCATTGTGGCGTTATCTTATAATAATCACATGCTGATAACAGCCGGGACTTCCCCTTTAATGACATTACTGGCAAGGTGGAAGATCTATTCCTTATATATGGAGCGGAACACGGAGACAGGAAGAGCCTGATTGTACCGACACAGAAAGTGATCCCACAAATGGGGAGGACATGGTGTTAGGTGCATACAGGAAGTGAGGTCATTTAGAAACAGGAAGTGATATAGGGGTCTAAACAGGAAATTCCAGGTGAGAAGTGAGTTGAGAGGAAGTAACAAGAAGACGATGTTGGAACTGGCAGCAAAGAAGGTAATCACATATTCATTTATTTAGAAGGACACAAGGACGTCATGATGGACAATCAGCCGCCCCTCACATCATCGGGTAAGAGGAGACTTTATTGTAAAAGAGAGAGCAGTACGGAGGGTCCACCTAGATCCCCCATCATCTGATAAACACATAGAAACAATGGATTCAGTCAGTGTGTGTGTGTGTTTCCTACAGATGGATCCAGTCATGGGAACCCACCAGAGAGATGTCCCTGTCCTCTGTATTCCCGGGATTCCACACAGGAAGGTCACACCAATCCTCACCATCATCAAGTAGATGGATCCAGTAATAGGAACCCACCAGAGAGATGTGCTCATCCTTTGTATTCCCGGGATTCCACAATGGAAGATCACACCATCCCTCACCATCATCAGGTAGATGGATCCAGTAATGGGAACCCACCAGAGAGATCTCCCCGTCCTCTGTATTCCTGGAATTCTACACAGAAAGATCACACCATCCCTCACCATCATCAGGTAGGTGGAACTGAGCAACTAGAGCTCAAATATGTTGTAAAATTCTACACTTCAAGATAACATTTTTTTATGTCCTCTTGTTTCCTTTTACAAATTCGTTCATATTTGGTCTTTAGGGTGAAGAACTGAGAGACATCAAAGTTGAGGTTAAAACGGAAAAAGAAGAGACGTTTGGGGATCAGCAGTCCATGGAGGAGGGTGATCCTCTGTATTCCTGGGATTCCACACAGGAAGATCACACCATCCCTCACCATCATCAGGTAGGTGGAACTGAGGAACTAGAACTCAAATTCAAAGTAGAATTATATGCTTTGAGATTACATTTTTCTATGTTACCTTCTATGTGCTTTAGGGTGAAGAACTGAAAAACATCAAAGTTGAGGTTAAAGTGGAAAAAGAAGAGATGTTTGGGGATCAGCAATCTATGGAGGAGGGTGGTCCTTGGTATTCCATACAGGAGGATCACACCATCCCTCATCAGAATCAGGTAGGTGCATGTAGATCTAAAATTGAATTGTAAGCTATGAGATTACATGTCTATGTAGTTTCTTCTTGTAATGCATATTTCTACATCTGAAGTGCAGCCTTTGTTCCCCCCATCCCCATTTATAGCTCCTTTCAGCGCCCTACATATTTTAAACCCCCCATTTTTTTAAAATGAATATACATTCCTTTCCTCTGGTCTTAAGCCCAGTCACAAGCCATAGTGGGTCCTCTTCCTCCTTGTGTTCTTCCAATGGAGGATGCATACTAAATTATGTAATTTGTGTCTTTTATATCTGCCTAGAGTTTGACTTTATTAGATGTTTTCTATTATTTTGGGGTTTAGGGTGAACAACGGATTAATATAAAAGCTGAGGTTAAAGAGGAAGAAGTGGTGACGTATGTGGGGGGTGGTCAGCCATCCACGGAGGAGGTTGGGATGGTTATGAAAAGTGAACAGGAAGAACTTTCTCTACCTATCAATACAGGTAAGTACAGGCACTATGGAAGAAATGGGTCACAGTCTCATTTTACTTCTGAGTAGAAGGATTGTAGTTTAAGTACAAATGTTATATAAGTAGCAGATCTTCGAATCATCCTGCAGGGAGGTGCTAAATGGGTAAAGATGTGTTTGCCTAAAAAAGTATTAATGTGTGCTGTTCCAAGGGTTAACACTTGGTGCTGTGATGTACCTTCCCCGGCACGTGTCACTTCCTGCTTCTGAAGTGACATATGCAAGAGGATACTGGACCTTGGGGCCTGTCCATGTATGGGGGGGGGGGTTGATCAGTGAGGGAGCTGCAAAAGATGTGAATTGAACTGTATGGTGGAGTTTCCCCTTAGCGGGACCCCGGGATGGGTTCCAAGGACTGGAATTTTGATATTATTTACTGAGATGAGGAGGCGTCTGTGTTACTTTGGAAGAGAAGGTACTTTACAGTGTATTGGGGAGACGTGGAGAACGAAATGTACAATTCAGTTTTGTCTTGATGTCACGGAGTGAAGCGTAATAAGGAGCAGCCAGTTCGGGGCGGAGAGAATGGTGGTGGCTGGTGACAGAGGTTCTGTAGATAAGAGGGGCCAAGCTGCGTACCAAGCTACCACGTTATGGCCTACTGCAGGACAGAACCCTCCTAGGGACCATGCCCGGAGCCACAGTGTGCAAGGCCTTGCAAAGTAAGAGTGGTGATTCCCATCCTTGCCATGTGCTGGGTTGTGATCCATGCCAAGCTGGCCATCTCCATCCTATTCATCTTCATTGGTAGTGCACTGGAGTTGGCACATCTGGAGTATTATAATTATCAATAAATAAATACTAAAGTGCCTATTATACCTAACAATTAATGCTCTCTGAGAAAGAGCTCATATACATATATACATCAGTGTAAATTGGATAAAACGTGAAATGGTAATAACAATTCCAAGTGAATATATAAAAAATATTTTCTCAAATTATTATATAACTGTGAATCACACCAATATACGATCACCATCTGTGAATAATCAAAATTAGTAATATATAAGACACAAGAGAAATCCTCCCCACACTGACCCGCACAGGGCCAAAAGGCTATTAATCTCCTCTGTATCAGATCCTTATGTGTAGATAGCTCATCCAGGGATCACAGGGGGATTGAAAACTTCTCTATTCCACTCCACCTCCACTCAGTGGTATATAAGACACAAGAGAAATCTTACGTGTCCAGGAGAAGGCAGAACCAGTGTGGGGAGGTGAGCAGGCACTGCTGCCATTTGAGGATTTGTGCACTAGAAGTGAAGATCACTTTTTCCACGAAGTTTCACTTGCATGGACTTTGTTTAATTTTGATTATTCACAGATGGTGATCGTATATTGGTGTGATTCACAGTTATATAATAATTTGACAAAATATTTTTTATATATTCACTTGGTATTGTTGTCATTACCATTTCACGTTTTATCCAATTTGCACTGATGTATATATGTATATGAGCTCTTTCTCACAGAGCATTAATTGTTAGGTATAATAGGCACTTTAGTATTTATTGATAATTATTATACAGCGCTTCACTAATTTGTTAACACATTGATCACTTATTGGTTTAGGCGAGTGACAGCACCTAACACTATAGGGATAATATAGGGAATTTTCTATATAAAGCGCAGGAGGATACTCCCATTTTACATCTGGAATATTGATCTGCTCATGTAAATTTTCACTGGTCACATGCTTATTGTACTTTTCGCTTCACATGATTGCATATTTGCCATCAGATTCATTACCTTGTATTCCGGTATAAGTGGCTACAGTCTCCCTTCCAACTTTTCTTCACTAGAGAACTTATTGGTTAAGAGGAGCTGTCTGTGTTCCTTTGGAAGAGAATGTGCTTTACAGTGTATTGGGGAGACGTAGAGAACGAAATGTACTATTCAGTTTTGTCTTGATGTTACGGAGTGAAGCGTGATAAGAAGGAGCAGCCAGTTCGGGGAGGAGAGAATGGTGGTGGCCGGTGACAGAGGTTCTGTAGGTAAGGGTAGCTTGGCATGTAGCTGGGCCCCTATGTTAGGGCCTACTGCAGAACAGAACCCTCCTAAGGACCATGACCGGAACCACGGTGCACAAGGCCTTGCAAAGTAAGAGTGGTGATTCCCATCCTTGCCAGAGTTGCAAAAGTTTACATTGTAAAGTGAATACATTCCAAATGCAGTCCCAATTATTACAGTAAAAGTCAGAGATATACCCCTGTCTTACCTGTCAACATTGCTGGTCCCTATAAATAGTCAAGGCTTTGCCTGTAAGGGTGGACCAACCCCCAGAGGGGTCTTCAGAGTCTGGGTTCCATAAGGATGGACCATGGCCCTGGGCTTATATAGCACCCTGTAGCTAACTGCCTATAACATATAAAGTGGAGAGGAAAAGGTCCATCTCCATTCCTCAATATAACATCATGTTCCAGACAAATGAGGAGGAAATACTGGACACCATATGAAAGGTCCATCTCCATTCCTCAATATAACGTCATATTCCCACAAAATTGTATGGCATCTCCATTAATCCCCATAGTCGTCATTAATAAACAAAAAATGTTGCACAGTGTGTTGTTGTTTTGGATGTTTTATATCCTTTAACCACTAGCCTGCAGGGCACTTATACCCCCTTCCTGCCCAGGCCAATTTCCTGCTTTCAATGCTGTCACACTTTGAATGACAGTTGTGCGGTCATGCAACACTGTACCCATATGAAATGTATATAATTTTTTTGTGACACAGCTTTATTTTGGTGGTATTTAATCACCTCTGGGTTTTTTATTTTTTCTTAAAAATAAAAAAACCACTGAAAATTTTGAAAAAAAAAAAGTTTTTTCTTAGTTACAAAATTTTATAACAAAAACTAAGTGATTTTTCTCCTTCACTGATATGCGCTAATGAGGCTGCAGTGTTGGGCACTGATAGGCTGCACTGATGGACACTGGTAGGTGGCACTGATGGGCATTGACAGGCATCACTGATGAGCACTGAAAGGCAGCACTCATATATGGTACTGATAGGCGGCACTGACTGGCACTGTTAGGTGGCACTGATTGGCATTGATAGGTGGCACTGACTGGTACTGATGGGTGACACTGAAAGGCAGCTGAGATGGGCACTGATAGTGGCATTGATATGCACTGGTAGGCACTGATATGCGGCATTGATGTGGCACTGACAGGTGGCTTGGATGAGCACTGACAGCTGGCACTGATGGACACTGGCAGGTGGCACTGCTGGGGCTACACAGATCATCAGGGCGCACTGATCATCAGTGCAGATGTCCCCTCCGAGGAATGCCTATTACCAGCTCTCCTCTCCTCTGTCAGCGTGACAGCTCATGATCAGAGAAATGCCGATAACCGGCATTTCCCTATTTACATGCGATCAGCTGTGGTTGGACACAGCTGATCACATGACCGAGCCGACACCTTTGGCTCTTTCCGTTGATCGGTGATCTGCTGTGTCCGAGGGACACAGCGCACCGCCGATCGCCACGCTAAGCGCTTCCGGAGCTGCGCATGCGTGGTTAGAATGGGAGGACGTCATATGACGTCCTCTCAGAACAAGAGAACCACCTTGCGCCCGTCATTGTACTATATGGCGGGCGGGAGGCGGTTAATCTTTTTTTTTTTCATATTTTGATGTTACAATTGTACCCAGTACTATGTCAGAGTTCTGTTGACTGTTAGACCAATGACTTTTTTTTGCTGACTAAGGTTGGAGTCCATATATGATCTGCAAACCAAATTTAAAATTCAGGCAATCCAATGTAGTAACAAACCACTAATACATTTTATCTAATGAAGCCTTGGTGATGGATATTTAATATAAAAGAATCTGCAGATCATATATGGACTCGGTGTGAACACTTTTTTTGATCGATTTTTGGGAGGGAGAACAGGAGCCCAGCTGTGAGATCGGCACTGCACTGTTGGGGAGGAGGAGCTAAATCTCCAGTTATCTGTGAATTCTGATGTTTCTTCCGTTTCTCTCCATCAGATGGGGCTGATGTCAGGAATTCCTCGGAGAGATGTCTTCTATTATCTGCTGATTGGAAGTCAGAAGATAATGCCATCACACAGGATTCTCCAGGAGTGAATCCAGATACACCCAATATCCATCACAGACCTTCCTGTCCGGAGACATCAATGGATCCCTCTGATCGGGGGGAATATTCTGACCAATCACATACTAGGAGTGCAAATGTCCATTTAGGATCTCACACTGCAGAGAGACCAACAGATCCATCTAATCCCAAGGAATCTTCCTCATTCCATGAAGGAGCTCACCGAGGGGACAATTTATTCTCATGTTCAGAGTGCGGGAAATGTTTCACTCAGAAAGGAAACCTTGTTAAACATCAGAAAATTCACATGGGTGAGCGTCCTTATTCATGTTCAGAGTGCGGGAAATCTTTTGCTCATAAAGGAGATCTTGTTGTACATCAGAGAAATCACACAGGTGAGCGTCCTTATTCATGTTCAGAGTGCGGGAAATCTTTCACTCAGAAAGGAATCCTTGTTAAACATCAGAGAATTCACACGGGTGAGCGTCCTTATCTGTGTTTAGAGTGTGGGAAATCTTTCCATAAAAAACATCATCTTGTTACACACCAGAAAATTCACACGGGTGAGCGTCCCTACTTATGTTCAGAGTGCGGGAGATCTTTCATTCATAAAGGAGACCTTGTTAAACATCAGAGAATTCACATGGATAAGCGTCCTTATTCATGTTCAGAGTGCGGGAAAGCTTTCACTCATAAAGGAGCCCTTGTTAAACATCAGCAAACTCACACCGGTGAGCGTCCCTATTCATGTTCAGAGTGCTGGAAATCTTTCACTCAGAAAGGAGCCCTTGTTAAACATCAGAAAATTCACACAGGTGAGCTTCCTTATTCATGTTCAGAGTGCGGGAAATGTTTCACTCAGAAAGCAGACCTTGTTGTTCATCAGAGAATTCACACAGGTGAGCGTCCTTTTTCATGTTCAGCGTGCGGGAAATCTTTCACTCAGAAAGGAGCCCTTGTTAAACATCAGATAACTCACACAGCTGAACTTCCTTATTCATGTTCAGAGTGCGGAAAATCTTTTAATTTAAAAAAAAACCTTGTTAAACATCAGAGAATTCACATTGGTGAGCGTCCTTATTCATGTTCAGAGTGTGGGAAATCTTTCAATTCCAAAGAAAACCTTGTGAAACATCAGAGAATTCACACAGGGGGTGCGTCCTTATTCATGTTCAAAGTGTGGGAAATCCTTCACTCAGAATGGACACCTTGTGCAGCACCAGAAACTTCACACGGGTGAGCGTCCTTATTCATGTTCAGAGTGCGGGAAATCTTTCACTTATAAAGGAGACCTTGTTAAACATCTTAGAATTCACACGGGTGAGCGTCCTTATTCATGTTCAGAGTGCGGGAAAACTTTCACTAATAAAGGAGGCCTTGTTAAACATCTTAGAATTCACACAGGTGAGCATGCCTAATCATGTTCAGAGTGCGGGAAATCTTTCAATAGAAAAAAAAAACCTAGTGCAACACCAGTGTTTAGGAAATCTTTCTATAGGAAAGATTAGACTTTTGAACAACAGAAAATTAAGTGTAATGTGCATGGTGGAGGAGAGCTGTCGGAGAATGTAGTGTGGATGGTGGAGGAGGAGAGCTGTCGGAGAATGTAGTGTGGATGGTGGAGGAGGAGAGCTGTCGGAGAATGTGTAGTGTGGATGGTGGAGGAGGAGAGCTGTCGGAGAATGTAGTGTGGATGGTGGAGGAGGAGAGCTGTCGGAGAATGTAGTGTGGATGGTGGAGGAGGAGAGCTGTCGGAGAATGTAGTGTGGATGGTGGAGGAGGAGAGCTGTCGGAGAATGTAGTGTGGATGGTGGAGGAGGAGAGCTGTCGGAGAATGTAGTGTGGATGGTGGAGGAGGAGAGCTGTCGGAGAATGTAGTGTGGATGGTGGAGGAGCAGAGCTGTCGGGAGAATGTAGTGTGGATGGTGGAGGAGCAGAGCTGTCGGAGAATGTAGTGTGGATGGTGGGAGGAGAGCTGTCGGAGAATGTAGTGTGGATGGTGGAGGAGAGCTGTCGGAGAATGTAGTGTGGATGGTGGGAGGAGAGCTGTCGGAGAATGTAGTGTGGATGGTGGGAGGAGAGCTGTCGGAGAATGTAGTGTGGATGGTGGAGGAGAGCTGACAGTGTGTTTTCTACTGATTGGCGAGTCCTGAGTCCCAGAGCTGCTAAGGACACTCTCCAGCATACCTACCCCTCAGCTCCCTGTTGCTACTTGGGTGATCAGAGGATCGCAACTTGGCTAACGCCTGCCGCGTAACATCTCCACTTTTTAGGAGTTCTGAAGCTGACCAAGCTGTATTTTAGACTCTGCACCTCAGCCCTTCACAAGGCTTTCACCATCACTAATCAAGCATTCATGCTGAGCTCCTAATACTTTGTGGCTTTTGCAACCATCTGCCCATCTCGGACAATCACGTCCTGCTGATAAAATGAATATCTCTGAGTGTTAGTATTACAAAATAACGTCAGAGGACTTTTCTTTAAAATTCCAAAAGAGACTGGATCTGATGAGGACTGCATCTCCTGTCCTAATCCATTCATTCCTGGTGATGGATCCTCCAGCACTGTAGGTCGGGCTGATTGGTCAGATCTGAGGTCTTCTCCATCCATGGAGCACCTTCAGGAAGCACATGGCGGAATCCCAAGTCATTCCAATGTGTTTGGATGACAATGAGAAGATGTATTATCCACAAGTAGCAGCAACTATACCAGAATACGTTCCGGTGATGCCACATGTGCACATTGGAAGGACGTGAACTATAGTATATAAAGAAGCCCTGCGTGTATGTTGGTAATCATAAAATATTGTCCAATAAATACGAGATTTCTACAATCAAGGTGTGCACTTTTGTGTTTCCATTTCAATTTGTTTCTCATTCTTTTGTTTCGCCATAATTATAAATACGGATGAACGTACCCAGGTTAGATTCAGTGCAGGTTCGGTGAATGTTATGATGGTTGGATCCCAAATCCAAGCCCCACTGAAGTCAATGGGAGTCGAACCTTAGATATCGGAAGTGGCCATTTTCTGGGCTAAAAGGCAAGGGATTGTCAAACACGGAGCTGGGCAGTGGCCTGAGGGATATGGACCTGTGCTAAAAATTGTTTTACACATTATCATTCCGCAGTAAAAGAGTCTTTTAAGGCAGCTTATAGCAGGGCTCAACAAATCCTAGGTTGCCATGGCAACTAGAAATTGCGTCCTGACGCCTGGGTTCACGCACTGCCTCCCACTGATTTCAATGCAAAATCGCGTCCCATTGACTTTAATGCAAAAACGCCTCCCATAGACTTCAGTGCAAATCCCCTCACCACTGACATCAATGCAAAAATGCCTCCCATTGACTTCAATGCAAAAATGCCTCCTATTGATGTCAGTGTAAAAAATGCCTCCTATTGATGTCAGTGTAAAAAATGCCTCCTATTGATGTCAGTGCAAAAACGCCTCCTACTGATGTCAGTGCAAAAACGCCTCCCATTGACTTCAATGCAAAAATGCTTCCTATTGACGTCAGTGCAAAAACGCCTCTGTGACGGGAGTGACTTTGGGTGGGGGGCCCATGGAACACAGCCGCCCTTGGAGAGGTGGGGAGACCCCTGTCTCAGCTCCCCATATCCATTATGTGTGAGTCACCCTGTGCCTGTTAGGGGTACAGGGTGATCTGTCCTAGTATTGTGTGGACATGTATAGGTGGGGTGTGGGGGTTGTTCATTGTTTACTGCCACGTGGTTGTTCCATTGTTCTATTGTGTCTTGCTTGCCAGCAAACTATTATGGGATGTATGTGTTCCTGTATTGTCTACTGCCATGTGGTGTATCCCATTGTTCTATTGTGTGTCTTGGTTTGGTGGGGGGGTGTTTCTGGCAGCCCTTCCACCTGATGGGACGGCCTGCTGATGTGTTTCCTGTTACTGGGTGTATTTCCCCGCCCTGTGTATATATCTTGTGTTTGTGTTAAAACAAAGCAGTTCACTTCCTGTCTTAAGAAGCCTGGTGCTGTCTCGTCTTGTATGGCCAGTGGTGGTGTCCGTGGATTTGTGTTCGGACAGGGAATCGGGAGTCTAACGGAAAAACCCTAGCGCAGTTGGGGTCCGGTTCCGTTACAGCCTCCCATTGACTTCAATGCAAAACCACCTCCCATTGACTTCAGTGCAAAACCACCTCCCATTGACGTCAGTGCAAAAATGCCTCCTATTGACGACAGGGCAAAAACGCCTCCTATTGACTTCCATGCAAAAATGCCTCTCATTAACTTTAATGCAAAGTTGCCTCCCATTGAATTCAATGAAAAAAACGTCCACTATTGACATCATTGGGAAAATGCCTCCTATTGACTTCAATGCAAAAATGCCTCCTATTGACTTCAATGCAAAAATGCCTCCTATTGACGTCAGTGCAAAAATGCCCACCATTGACATCAATGCAGAAATGCCTCCTATTGACTTTCTTGTAAAAACGCCTCTCATTAACTCCAATCCAAAAATGCCACCCATTGACTTCAAAGCAAAATTGCCCTCCGTTGAATTCAATGAAAAAACGCCCAATATTGACATCATTGCAAAAATGCCTCCCATTAACGTCAATGCAAAATTGCCTCCTGTTGACTTCAATGCAAAAACACCCACTGTTGACATCATTGCAAAAATGCCTCCCGTTGACTTCAATGCAAAAGTGCCTCCTATTGACTTCCATGCAAAAATGCCTCTCATTGACTTCCAAGCAAAAACAACTCCCATTGACTTCAATGCAAAAACTCCTGTCAATAGCAATCCTATGTGAACACTTATCTCCACAAGCGAGTCTGGAACGGATCACTACAAACGAACACAGGACCCTTTTCATAACGGCAATCAAAATGCAACGCGTGTGGATCGCATCTGTGTGAACCAGCTTAATAGGAACATGTAATATCCTGCCTGTCATGTGAATCCGTGAGTTTGAAAACACCTCCAGAATCGCATGTGTGTGAACCAGAGCGGCTCCATTCACTCCTGGGCGTGTTGGGATCATGACAGAATCACTGCGATCACAAAATCCAGGCCCAGGTTCCATTATTTTCAACGGCCCCTTAAATATGGTGAGGTTTTGCCGTCATTGTTGCGCAGCAAATTGCATTGTGTGAAGGTTGTTACCCAAAGGTTGCCTTGCCTGGGCACTGACAACTCACGCTACGCTGAAAAACTAAGTGGTTCCTAAGTTTTTTAGCTGGCTCCTAGATTCAATGCAAATTTGTCTTGCTCTGGCTTAACCACTCTAAGTCCGGACACTTTCGCCCCCTCCCAGTCCAGGCCAATTTTCAGCTTTCAGCTTCATCACACTTTGAATGACAATTGCGCGGTCATGCGACACTGGACCCATGTGGCATTTTTTAGCATATTTTTGAGACAGATAAAACTTTATTTTGGCAGTATTTATTCATCACTGGGGATTTTTTTTTTTTTCTATATAAATAAAAAGTCCAAACATTTGGAAAAAAATTGTGTTTTTCTTATAAAATTTTGCAAATACTCTTTCTTCATAAATCTTGGCCAAAATTTATTCAGTTATCTTTATAGTAAAAAAAATAAATAAATAACCCAAATTAGTTTATAACCAAAAATTATAAATTTTCTAAATTTTTCTTTGACATTTTTGTTATATTTTTTTAATTTTGCAAATAAATCTTTTTTATATCATTATTTGTTTTTTTACATACTGTCACCCTAGCAGTACAGTGTCACCATAGTGACACTGTACTACTTTAAGTGGGGTTTTCTACACTGATTGCTTTTACACCCATAAAGGCTGAAAAACCAATCATTTCTCCTTCTCTCTGGCTGCATTCCTGCAGCCATTGAAAAATACTATGTGAGCTGTGACTGGTCACAGCTTGTCACATGGTACACGGTTATTGTGAATAGCCCTGTACCATGTGATCTCGGTGATCATTCACAGATTTCACACATAGTAAGCAATGATGTCAGAAGTGACATCTTGCTTACTACTATTCATGTGATCACTGATTGGCCAATCAGTGATTACATGAATCGGGACCACACAGAGGTCCCGTACAGTGATCGGTGTCCGGATTGATCTTGTGCTTTTTTTTTTTTTTTTTTTTAAATGTCCGGAACCAGAAGTGACATTGCTCCTGTCCTCCAAGGGCATAGAGAGTGGAGGCCATCTTTTCTATTCATGTGATCCCTGATTGGCCAATCAGGGATCACATGAATCGGGACCTCACACAGAGGTCCCATGCAG